TGACAATATAAATACTTTTTTTTTGTATTTTCAATAAATATGAATTTTTTTCGTATTATTATTATTATTATATTCTAAATATGTATTAGTATATTATAAATATCTTATTATATATATACAAAATGCATTTTTGACGAACAGAAAAAAAATACATTTTTATGTATAAATACATTTTATAAATATTTTTTAAATGTATAAATATATTTTTAAGTACATAATTATACTCTTTACAATTTTAAAAGTGTAAAAGATATAAACACATCTTTTAGAATTTCAAAAACGTAAAAGTATCTATTTTGAAGAGAATTTTTAAATCTATTTATACATTTAAAACATATTTCGTTTGTTTATACACTTAAAAAATTTGCAATTAAATCCATAAATATGTTATTAAATCTACAAAATACTCTTTAGAATAAATAAATGTTTTTGGTTGTAAATATTTTTAAGTGTACAAATACGATTATATATATATATATATATATATATATATATATATATATATATATATATATATATATATATACAAACATATTTTTATTTATGAAAAAAATACGTATTTGTATTAATTATACAAAAAAATATTTATATTGAAAATAGAAAGAAACACGTATTCAATACATATATAATATAAAAACACTTACTATCTATATAATGTCATAGAAAACCTTAAGTTTGTCAAGAATTTACGGTTTTACCATTTTGTTAGAATTTTGGTTATATAATGTCATATATATATATATATATATATATATATATATATATATATATATATATATATATATATATATATATATATATATATATATATATAGACACACAAACATGTGCACACGCTATTTGGTTACATTATATATTAAGCATGATGACTAATTAATGATTTCGCTTGGTAGCCTAGTAGTAGACAACCTTGTTGGTTATGGTGGAGGTGTCAGGTTGGATTCTTGGCCACTGCTTATTATGGTAGGAATAAACTGAATAAGCTAATCCAAACATTGACCATTGCTTATTATTGTAGGAATAAACTTAATAAGTTAATCCAAACACTTTTTAAAAACTGTTTATTGCCACCACAATAAACTAATAAGCAATAAGCTAATAAGCTAAAAACATATCTATCCAAACACCCCTAAGTTGCATAAACAACAAATTATGTGTTATTAATTGATTGTTGTTTTATGACATTAACCCTCATGACATGTACTCTCGTAACAAAAGGAAAAGGGTTGTGGAGTTTGCAGAACCCATAAATAAGTCGCGTGAACATGTGACATCTAAATATGGTCTTATTCATTATGCATGTGGATTTTCACTCTAATTGTTAATTTTAACAATTCTTTTGAAAGAAACGAAACACATTTGGTGTGTAATGATAAATCTCGACAGATTGAGACATTTTAGCTTGGTTGTGAAACTGACTACACTATGACTAGTTTATTTTCATTTTCTATATCAAAGAAATGGACGTACACCAATATGCTGAGAAGAATTTGCTTCTTCATTTTCATTTTCAAGAGACTGTTTATAGGCACACGTGTTTTTAGGAATGTTTGTTTGGATGGATCAGTTTGATCCGATCCAATCAAGTGAATCCAAATTGATTTCGGTTTTTAAAACATGGATTCAAATAGTACATACTAAATTCAAATCCGATCCAATTACAATGTGGTTGAATGTGTTTTTATAATTTGGTTTCAAAAACTGAAACATTTTAAAATTGCATATTAATTATAATATTACCCAATTTTACACAAGAAACAAAAACAAATTATTTAGTTGTGATTTGAAATTTATAAACAATTATTAAAAATATATATTATAGTTAAATATTTCTATGGTTAGAAAACGTTTGAAAGAAAATGCATATTAATGTTTTTTTATAGGGTGAAACGTTTTGAACTTATTTAATAAAAAAACTACAAAATTAATAAATAATTATAGATATATTTTATAAATAAATAAATAATAATTGTTTATTTAGTTTTTTTTGAACTATTTGGTTCTTATTTTATAAACCAAAACCACTATGAAATCTAAAATAATAATTCGATTTTTTTGAAAACCAATCCAAAAATTCGAATATCCAAACCAAATAGTCCAATTTAAATTATCCAAATGGATAATTCGGTTTTATCCAAATAATGTAAGTATGATTTATTATCTATATGTATGTCACGAAACAGGGTTTAACATCAAATAATCATACATATTGAATTCAACGTAAATGTTCGAAAAAAAATTGATATGTAGCCAAATATTCATTCTTCATATTCTATCTCAATATCAATATGTACATATTTTCACCAAATATCTCCTACTTCGAACCTAATCTTCATGTTGGTTTCTCCCATTTCAATTAAGGGGGAACAATATATAACCTTTTTATGCTTTGTAAATTTAACCAAGTAAGTATAAATGTCCTTTGCATTTTATTTCCTTGTAAATGGTCTCGCTCTTTGCTAGCGTTTTAATGAACCATTTGGTTTTGGGATAATGACTTAGGAGGGTAATAACGTTTCCTGTTTGTCCATTTTAGGTCCCTAACGTATTTTTTGTGCGTATTACACCATTAAGGTTATTATGACCGCTTACAAATAGTCGTTTTAACAGGAAGAAACCGGTAAAAGGATTATTTATAAATGGTTATAACAACCTTAATGATGTAATATACACAAAAAATACGTTGGGGACCTAATATGGACAAACATGAAACGTTATTACACTCCTAAGTCATTATCTCATGAAACTATAAACCCTTATAGTAAATTTTTACTTTTTAAATAAGAAACTTATAAGTCTTGGGGTTGGTAGTTTGGATGTTTTAAACCTCGACCTTCTTTATAAATGGAAGTGTCGGTTTCTTAATGACAATGGAGCTCTTCGGGTTAAAATTGTCAAATTTTGTCATGAGAAAGGTGGTGGTTTTTCGGAAGATTCGAGAATAGGAATTGGAGGAGCTCTGTCAAATTTAGAGTTTAAATGGGTTTTTTTTTCATGACTTTTGTTTTTGAAGTTCATTCAATAAATCAGCATTATCCCTATAGTGGATTCCAACGTTCCATTCAAGAGCACATTGGTGTTCTAGTGTAGTTGTCTTTTTTATGCTGCATCAAAAAGTTAATTTTAACTATTATTTGGAAAGAATGAAAGTGCATTTGGTGTGTAATGATAAATCTCAACAGGGTTGAGTTGACTGTGTTGGGAAAACGGTCTCAATGTTCCTAACAACCTTCCAATAACAATAATAGAGAAAATAACTGGACACAAGAATATACATGGAAACTCGAAAACCAAAGAAAAACCAAGGGCCTTCAAAGAGAACAATCAACTATATGATAAATTGTTACTAATCTCTCAAGAGTCTCCAAAAATACTCATACTTTATCAAACCGATAACAAAGTCTTTCTATACACTAAGACAAGAGAATAAACTCTAAAATAAGGGAAGAAAGAAAGAACCAAACACTTCAAGTATAGGGTGCTTTAAAACCAAAATCTTGGTCTTCTTTTACAAACTTGGAGACCTACCAAGTTTTCATCCTTCTAGCAATGTGGGATGACTATTCATTCTTTAGCCAAAACTCAACACATTGTATGGAGACATATAATAGCTTGGTTGTGAAACTACTACAATATGACTAGTTCTTAGTATTGCTATATCAAAGAAATGGGATCTGCATGAAAATTTTGCTTCTTCATGGTCATTTTCAAGAGGCTATTTGATGACAAGTTACGACATCATGTATGTCGCCTAAAGCTCTTATTATTTGCCTTTAAACAAGTTTTATGAGCATGGTACCAATGGTTCACTATATTTATTGCTTCGTTTGGTTCTACTAAAAGCAAAAATAGGATAACTAGCCTATTTGTATATTAACATGGCCTATGACATTGCCTAGTTACTAGTATATGTACACAACATTCTTATAATGACCCGACAAGTTGTGTTGTGATATTAACTGTGGTGCGAATTTGCAATGAAATATTCGGGGAATCTACACTTTTTTTTTGAATCTTCCTCTCTCGAATATTCCAACCGTTTTTATCCCAATAAAAAATATGCTCCCAAAATTTTGGTTAGGGAAAATATGATCCCTTGCAATAAAACTTTGGTTAATACCAAGTTAAAGTTAAGTGGTGTGGTTATTTTTATATCAAAAAATCTACATCCAAATATTGGGTCATCCCATCTTGTGGTCTCCAAAAGATACTATTGTAGGATCTGATGTTAAAGCTAATGAATACCGAAGGCGGTAAATTTAGTTTTGGAAACATGTTGGTTATGAAACCTTTTTAATCGAATTTCAATGTCCTCTCACTAAAGCCACACATGTCTTGCTTTCATAATGTAAATGTGATCTATTATCTATATGTCACGAAACCGGGTTCAACATCAAATAACCATACATATTGAACTCAACATAAATGTTCAAAAAAAATGGTGTGTAGCCAAGTATTCATTCTTGATATTCTATCTCAATATCAATATGTATATATTTTCACCAAATATATAACCTTTCTATGCTTTGTAAATTTAACCGAGTAACTATAAACGCCCTTTCCGTTTTATTTCCTTGTAAATGTTCTCGCTCTTTGCTAGCGTTTTAATGAACCATTTGGTTGTTCAAAATATGAATTATTTTTTGTAGATATAAAATTTTACGCTTTACCAAAATTTATATTTTTTGTTAATAAGTTTACTAATAGAGCAATGGAATTTTTTTTTTTTTTTTTTTTTTTTTTTTTTCTTTTTCATATAGAAATTGTAAAGAATATACAAACACCCACATTTAGGGATTGAAAGAAAGGGGTATAGTTTGAGATTCAAACAAAATTGAACTCCATAGATATGGAGCATCGTTCCATCTATCCAATCCCATGTTACCTTCAATTCGAAATGTCTCTTCTACCCTTCTCCTCTGCCTTCCTGTCTTTCCCTCCTCTCTTACAATCATTCAAGCACAAGGTACAACCTTTATCTAAACGGCATCACGCTTCCATTAATAAAAGTCTGAATCTATATATCACTCAAAAGGGTAAAAGAGAATTAATTTCTACATAAAAAACAAATATCATTATTAAATAAGATATAATTTAAAATCTTAGTATGGGTTCAAAATCGTTCAAATTGTACTAAAATACTCATAACTTTCAATATGATTTTTCCTTAAAAAATTAATTATTATTTTGCTAATATATTTGTTTATCTTATTTAGTTCAAGGACTAAATCCTAAAAAAGCACAATACATTTACGTCATTTCACCAAATCAAGAGCATACGTGTTTTAACTTACAATTTTACGTAGTTGTTTGGATAAATAAAAAAAATGATATGTTTGTTACATTCAAATGGTTATATTTATATAAAAGAGTAGGATATAGTAGTTTGATAAATTAAATATAGATAAAAATATGTTTCATAGAAAGGCTCTAGCATTTTTTGCTAAAATGATGAAAATATTTTCTTCTTTATTTTTTATTTTTTAGTATCAACCCGTCTGTCCATTTTCTCTTAAAGATAAAAATAAAATAAAAAACCCAATATTTTTGTACCTTTAGAAAACCGCGATCTACGAACACCATCACGACTGTAATATTCGTTTTGCTTACGCGATTGAATTAGCATCGGTCCCATGTGTCTAAACCTTTCTTGTTCTTTACGTTCCTATAACATTTAAAGAAAATTCGCGATCAAAATCCAATACACATGTGAACTAACAAATTTAAATCCTATAAACATTCAAGCATTCGAGGCTCAACAGTTGCATTGTGAGAGTTTTAATTCTAATATGGATTGACCTTCATGTGTCAACTAGCCAACGAGCAGGCTAATGTGTACCTTATTTACCTCTCACATGATGTTTCTAGGGCAGTGTGGGCCAACTTAGGGGTTGCTGAAAAAATAACTTTTTTTGTAGAAAACAATTGGAAACATAATGCCAAATTTCGAAAGATGACTCACGGATGATAATAACTCCTCGGGCTTGTATACTTCACTAGAGTATAAAGAATCTATTCTTTGTATAGAATGCCTTTTTTCAAGATTTCTCCTTTTTGTTGCATACATAAAGGTACCATCCGATGTGGTAGATTGAGCCGACTGTGTGCAAATACTATCGTCTTGTAAAGTTTCGGTCATTTGTGATGCTTCCGACAAGGTGTTGTATGACGCGTTTGGACGAACGGATTCTCGTGATCTCATGTGATATGGACCCTCGGGAACGCCTGCGTGGACTTTTCTATGGTTTCTTGAACCCCCCGAAGATCTAACCCTCCCAGCCAACTTTCTTCTGAAACCGTCAAGTCACGTTAATAATGGCTTAATGCAAGAAATAACAATGTACTTTCGTTTATTTCTCTATTATAGCATCCTATTTTCATTTCTTTATATTACAACATTGCAGTTTCAACTTTGTTTTTTTCTTATTAAAACATGGTACTTTGAAAACTCTACCCAATTATACCATTCACCTTTCATTTTTTTTTCTTATTAGGGCATATTACTTTAAAACATCTATCCAGTTATAGCATTGTACTTTCATATTTTTTTTTTGTGTGTGAAAACATTATATTTTACAAATTTAATGAACTATAACAATGAAAATTGCTTTGTATTTGGATGACATTGCTATAATTGTTATGATAAACAAATCAATGAAAATATGTTGCTATTTCTTGCACCTAACCCTATTAATAACGAGAAAGAAAATATTTTATCGGGTTTTTACACAAGCGACACAAAGGGAACTAACCTTCGTGTTGTCTCACGGGATTTTGCATCCATTTCTTTGTTAGGCGGGTACTTAGGCATGCTTGCAGGATCACACGCGTAAGGTTTGGTATAGAAATACTAAACAAGAAGAGCACCAAGAAACTCGATTAAAATATATCTAATGAGCAACAAATACAACAAATGGAAAATTATTAAACTACAATTTAGTCCATATATATGGTCCATAATTGTTTTTTTTTTTTAATTTCTTTTTGGTCCAATTTCAACGTTTCATAACATGTGTCGTCTAAGACAATCATGGTTTACAAAAAGCACATTAACTCCACATAAAATCACCATTTTGTCCTTGCATCATGTAAATTTAAAATAAAAAATGGTATACGGAAAGCCTTACCTCGACTTGGAGGGCGGAGTTGGCAGTGACACGTTTCTCGGGTTCTACACAAAGAAGTTGATCGATAAGGTCGACTACGGTTCTTGGGAGTTCTTTACACCTTTCGCGTAGACTGCTTTCATAAGTGAATTGAGGTTTAAACATTGCCGCAAGAGGATGACGGGTTTTTGTCCAATACTCATCGGAAGGAGTCCCACACATCTTAAATATCTTGTGCAATTGTTCAACCTTACAATTCATAAAATAAACCACCAAATTGTTATAAAAAAGGTCTCATTTGGTTTTTATACTGCATTTTACATGCATTGAACTAAAACTGCTATTGATGTCAATAAGACAAAATTTGTTCTACCGATAATCATTGTCTCACTTTTTTGGGACAAAAAATTGTAACTTTTGTGTATTCAGTACATGCTAAAAACAGTACAAAGTTGACGTAATTGTTGTATAATTTTCACCTCGGTTCTCCCCTTGAGGATTGGTCTACCAACAAAAAGTTCGCCAAAAACACACCCAATGCTCCACATATCAATAAAAGGCCCGTAGTTTGCTGACCCTAAGAGAAGTTCGGGAGGACGATACCACAAGGTCACCACACGGCTTGTTAATGGCTGCCTACTCATAGAATCATAGAAATTCGCAAGACCAAAATCTGCAATCTTCAAAACACCTTCATTATTGACCAAAATATTGGAGGATTTGATGTCGCGATGTATAATCCCTCGTGAATGGCAATGATCAATTCCTTTCAATAACTGCATCATATAACATTTAATCTGCAGAAAACGTAAATTCATGTGAAAAACCCTAAATTGAAGTGAAGAAAGTAAAAACCATAAATTTGTAGGGAAAATTGGAGTAAGAACCTGGGATGCGGTAAACTTGACGTCGGGAGATGATAAGAGTCCGGCGAGATCGTGTTCCATATATTCGAAAACGAGATATATGCTGCATGATAAGCGAGACGTGATTATGCCTTCCAATTTCATGACGTTGGGATGATCAAGCTTTCGAAGAATTTTGATCTCTCGAGCCATGAACTTGACACTTTCGGGTTGAAAATTGTCAAATTTGACCTTCTTTAGTGCCATTATTTTACCACTTCGAAGATCACGAGCACGATAGACATTGCTGTATGTGCCTTGTCCGATCTACACATGTAGCGAAGATGGAACAAGAACAGATGCAACGAGATGAGTAAGGTCTTGATGATAAATGAAAGTTGATGGTGTTATTTCGGAAAAAGTTTAAAAAAGGTCAAAATATTTACGGTTTTTATTTGACAACATGCAGTTTTATTTATTTTTTATTTTTAAGAGAAGTTATTGGTGTGTTCAGCATGCAGCCTTTGGGAGCTTCTGGATTCTAGATTTTAAGAAAACGTTCATAAAAAAGAAAAAGCTTTGTTCGGCGACAAGAGCGTTTAACTTTTAGTTTAAACAAAACGTTATAAAATCAAACGCTACCTGCTACCCATTATCCGCTATTCCCCACTCGGTAGTTTTGTTGAACATACCCTAAGGCTGAGCGGTATATAAGTCGGCATGCTCTCCTATGCATAACCACCGCCCCAACCAAGCATAATTGAGAACCTGTATATCCTAGGCTACATGCTGTGGCAAGGGAGAGAGAAAGGGTGTAACTTGACCAGTGTCTCTGTGTGTGTATATATATATATATATATATATATATATATATATATATATATATATATATATATATATAAACCAATTTTTACCTATAAATACCCATGCAGAAACGCACAATAATCTCCGTCAAAATTTGATAGAACACATATATTGGCAACAGAACCATAACGATGGCGCGAATGAGATACTGACCACAAGGGGACCGATGACATGATGCGAACGATGATGACAACAATAACGAATAATAGGTTTTACTTTATTATTTTACATTTAGTTTTGTAATTTTTTTTCTACACTAGCATGCTATATTTAAAAATTTTAAATGAATTTTAATTATATTATTATAATTTGTATAGTTTTAATTATATAATTTTATATTAAAACAAATAAAATATAAAAAGATAATGATGATGTGTACTAGTAGATATATTTCTTAAATTTAGTAAAGATTTAGTGGCGAAAATAATGTAACGCCGAAGTGTCGTACTTTTTGAGTAAAGACATTCTGGGGTACTAGATATATTTCTTAAATTTGGTAAAGATTTAGTGGCGAAAATAATGTGATGCCGAAGTGTCGTACTTTTTGAGTAAAGACATTCTGGGGTACTAGAGTATACACGATAGTATAAAAGTTACAAGTTTAGACTATTTAAACAAAAATAACAAGTAACTTCAAGATTGGAATGATATATATATATATATATATATATATATATATATATATATATATATATATATATATATATATATATATATATATATATATATATATATATATATATATATAATGTTGGATCAGGTCCTTTAAAACACACACACTAGTCATGTATATATTTATGTGAAATCAACAGATAAAATATAGATGACTACGAAGCACACTCTTATTCATATCAATATATGTTATATATAGCTTCCTAATGCTCACGTGAATTCACATATTCACATGAAACAAACCATGCTACTTTCTTCCTAAAGACCCGTACAACTCCTTGAATCAGGTCAAAGCAAATACCAATTCAACTAATAACTATTATCTATAACATAAAACATAAAACAATAATAATTATTAAATCTAAAGTTTTAACCATGCACGTGAGCTATGACTAACGAACCAATTAACCCAACACTCACCCCTTCATCGGTTTGTTCATACCGTTCACTCATAACAACGCTGAATCCTCGTCTTCTAGAACCATCCCGAATTCTCCCGGACACCCGAACTCCACCTCGGTCACATCCAAAGTCCTCCATACAATCCCGACTTTTCCCATACACCCGACCTTCACCTCGGTCACGTCCAAAGTCCTCCATACCCGACTGTTGTTTGTCACCACACATAATCCGTTTTCTCCTAATACTTCTGTGAAACGAGAGTCGTCTTCCACCGATCAAGAAAATAAAGCAACCCACTTTTCCTATCTTCTTGCACCTATAAAAACAAAACAAACCCAAAGCCACCTGCTTGACGGATCTTTTCTGTTCGTTTTCTCATGCATCTCCGGTAACTCTCTCCATTTTCCGGTGACATACCCACAACTTACCGCCGGAATCACCACCTTGTCAGACACCACCAAAAACTAATGACATCCGGCAAAGAAACTCATCAGCTGAAAAACCTTCTCCGCCATTAACCAGTGATGAACACCAACACCTTCATAGCCTCTGTTTACCTTCGATCCACCGGCTGCCTCACCTGCAAACCTCGCCAACAACAGCTGCTAAGACCACAGTTGTGATCAACCCACTACCGACGATCCATCACCCTCTTCACCTAAAACCCGATTTCCTGCTACATCTGCCCTGCAGCAAAGGGCTACCCCCTTTTGTGAAACCGACTCTCAAACCGGCCTTGTTCCTCTTCACGAGCCCTAAGCTCTTATACCAATTGTTGGATCAGGTCCTTTAAAACACACACACTCACACACTAGTCACGCATATATTTATGTGAAATCAACACATAAAATATAGAGGACTACGAAGCACACTCTTATTCATATCAATATATGTTATATATAGCTTCCTAATGCCCACGTGAATTCACAGATGCACATGAAACAAACCATGCTACTTTCTTCCTAAAGACCCGTACAACTCCTTGAATCAGGTCAAAGCAAATACCAATTCAACTAATAACTATTATCTATAACATAAAACATAAAACAATAATAATTATTAAATCTAAAGTTTCAACCATGCACGTGAGCTATGACTAACGAACCGATTAACCCAACATAATTTGTATGATATGTTTGGATAGATTTTATTTAATAATCAAGTGAACAAGTTTTAAAGGTTGGGGTAAAAGCAAAAGTCAAAGGAATTGCAAAGTAGAGTTGGAGGGGCAAAATGGGAATAAAGTTTCAGAAAATTTGTTTTATACTCTTTCAAAAGCTTCGGTGGTGGAGAAAATTTGTGACCCTTCTCCAGATTGTTCCTCTGCTGACCTGCTTATTTACAAAAATCAGACAGCAGGCAGTCTTAAAGATGTTGTCCAACATTATTCCTTCCCATTAGATGTCGCACCAGCATCTTCTCCTCCTCACTTGTCGATGCAAGTTTCTAAGGAGCAAAATAGTTTGGAGCAGGTCCCGGTTTTTCAACTTATTCTTTGAATAAGGTATTACGAAATGGTTCTATTGTGTTTTTTTTTTTTTTTTTGGGGGGGGGGGGGTATGTCCGGATGTCAGGGGTGGAAGTATTAGAGGATTCCTTGTCACATCCTCCAGGTTTTCGGATAGATTGGGAGGGAATGAAGAGAATAGTGAAAAATTCTACATCGAAGTAGATAAGAAGAATGATGGAAATAGGTTAAAAAATTGGAATTAGTATGGATGGTTGCTTGGATCAAGTTCAATCTGCTGTTGAAAGGGAGGGGATAATTAATAAAAAAAAATAATATTTTATGAATTGTTTGTCTCTAAATATTCAAGGAGCGAGGTCTGTTGATAAGCAGGTTTGGGTGAGATCGTTATGTCATAAATTTAAAATAAATTTCCTAGCTATACAAGAAATGAAGTTAGAGCTTATTGATTTTTTGATGGCACGTTCTTTTGGGGTAATAGTTCCTTCTATAATGCATATTCTCCTTCTCGTGGAGCTTCGGGGGGCATTCTTGTCATTTGGGATCAGAATCGATTTAAAAAAAAGGTGTTTTCTTTTGATTCGTTTGTAGCAGTGGAGGGGGTGTGGGTCTCTTCTGGAGTTCAGGTTGTGCTTGTTTCAGTCTATGCTCTGCAAGGGACTGAACGTAGAAGACATCTTTTGGAAGAACTTATTCAGTTGATGAGTTCTTGTTCTGGGGAATATGTTTTTATGGGTGACTTTAACGAAGTGCGTGATGAATCCGAAAGGTTGGGGTCTCAGTTTAATCTGGCATCTGCTAGGTTTTTTAATCAGTTTATTGAGGAGGCGAATTTATTTGATATTGCTTTGGGGGGACCTCGGTTTACTTGGAGTAATAAGTGGGGTTCTAAATTCAGTAGGTTGGATCGTTTTTTGGTTTCTGAGGGTCTTTTTGTGTACTTTTTGTAACAGCCCGGATCCCCAGGTATCTTCATTTTCTTATATATTTTGGCATTCTGTGAGGGGACTCGGCGAGTTGGTGGTTGAACTCGTTGAGTCGGGTCGCGGTTTTTAGCGAGGGTTCGCGTCCGGACTCGGCGAGTCCAAGGGATGGACTCGACGAGTCCGCGCTGTTTGATGAAACCCTAATTCCCCGGTCCTAAGCTCTATTTAAAGGACCTTATGGCCCTCATATGCGGCCACCTTGAACCCTAAGAGCCTCCATACGTCTGTAAGCCCTTGTGTGTGTGTTTGAAGGCCTTTTGTTCTTCATTTTGTGTGTTAGTGCAAGGAAAGGAGGGAGAGGAGCAAGCTTGAAGTGTTGGGGAGCTTAGATCTGTTGCTATTTCATCAAGGGGGTCTTCTTGAGGTAACTTTCTGAGCCAATCTTCGTGTTTTGTGTTGATGGGCCAAATCTAGGGTTTCTTCTTGCCTTTCTTGGCTTGAATAAGAAGTATGAGAGGTCCCATGGAGACATGGAACCTAGATCTGGACTTTAGCAGGTCCAGGAGACCCCTTGTGACAAGCTTTATGCCCACCCTTTTGAGTTAGAAGTTATACTTGCCATATTAAAGGTTGTTTCTTCAAAATAAGCCTTGTATGCATTGCATGGCAACCAAGACTGAGACTTTACGTGACAAATAAGCTTGGGAAGGCCAGATCTATGTATTTATGGAACGGATCTGACCGCAAAAGCCAGTTTTAGCTGGTGCATGGCATGGACTCGCCGAGTCTGAAGAACAGACTCGACGAGTCACTTGAAGATTGTCCTTGAGACCATCTTGTGTGTAGACTGGACCGAGTTGTGGGCGACTCAGTGAGTCGCAGAGAGTTGGAAAGGTTTTGTCAGGTGGACCGAGTCGGGATGGGACTCGCCGAGTTGACCTTCGACTCGGCGAGTTGAGTCGCAGTGGCCCTGTGAGTCAGGCCCAGGTGGAACTCGTCGAGTCGAGGGAGTACTCGACGAGTCAAAGGGAAAATTTTGAGAGTTGGTAAAAACGCGTAGACTCGCCGAGTCACTATTGTGCACTCGCCGAGTCTAGTCCAAATTAACTAAAGACTGTTGACCGGGTCAACCGGTGTTGACTTGATTTGAATGGTCCACCTTAGTGGTACAAGTAATATTTATAGATTTATATATCGTAGGAGGATTGCAGCTCGAGGGTTCGAGCCCGAGTGATTCCAGGATTTACGGTTAGAAGCTTAGCGAGGCATACGAGGTGAGTCTTCTCACTATACTGTACCCGGAAGGGTTTGACTATGTGACCGGAAGGTCGAATATGATATGGAATATATGCTTTATGTGTGTTAAGTTATTTGCTATATGTGATATGTATGATATGTTTGATATGGGCCGGAAGGCGTGGTCATATGGACTGTAAAGGTTGATGTGGGTAGGACCGGAAGGTTTACCCAGTCGGGACGGAAGTCCCCTGAAATACATGGACCGGAAGGTCAAGGCCTGGAAAGGCGTATGTGCGTATGTTGTATTTTGGGAACTCACTAAGCTTTATGCTTACAGTTGTTGCTTATGTGTTTCAGGTACGAGTGAGGACCGTGGGAAGGCGCCAGCGTGATCGTACACACACTCGGGGAAACTATTTTATCTTTTGTTATGTAATCGTTGAGACTACGACGTTATTTTGGAAATCTAAATTAATTACTCATGTCTTAATGGTTGTAAAAATGAAAATTTTTGGTTGGAAATTTTATGACGTTACAAGTTGGTATCAGAGCCTTGGTTTGAGGGATTCGGTACACCTTCGGGTGTAACTGGACTCAAACCGGGAATTGGAGAAAATTGTTTTTACAAAAATCGAATTTAAATAATTAAAATTTAAATTTTGAAAGGTGAGACGACCAAAGAAGAAAAGTGTGTACGGTCAGCCGGCGCCCGAACGGTAAAAATCCCCAAAATACTCTTATTATATGTGTTACGATATATGATATGATATGATACGCATGCTAGTAGACTAGGTATACATATTAGGGCTAGAGTGGCCTGATTTTGTGATGCCTTAGTCTAGGAAAACTTGCTTCTATGGGGTGCTCGAGAGCGAGTGAGTAACAAGAGTATGAAAAGAATAGAGTGCTCAGGATTCGAGGTTGGGGAGGATGACTTGGGTGAATACCGACGCGGTGTAACTGGCAGTATTGGGCCCGTACTACCAAGGACACCGGGTCAGTAGGCAGCCAAGTGGGAACCCCCGAGTATCGAAAACTGAGCAGGACTGCGTTATCGAGTGCGATTTTTGCCCGATAGGGTCTCTGATATTCTTTTGTTGTATTTCAGAGACATCATGGTTGGACCACGACACAGACCTGGCACGAGTGGGGTGACTGACGAGGAGCTCCGTCAGATGATTCATGAGGAGGTAGCTGCAGCGATCCGGGCCGAGATTCCGGAGATGTTTGGGTCTATCAAGACCACGCTGATGGAGACATTTGATGAGCGGTATGCCGCGTTGTCTGAGGCTGCCGCTGCTGCAGCTACCGCAGCTGTGGCTGCTGCCAGGCCACAGGGGGGTGACTCGTTGCTGTTCCGGGAGTTCAGCAACACGAAGCCACCAGAGTTTGACGGGACTCAGGATCCGATTGCTGCGATGAGGTGGATTGCCGATATTGAGGGATGCTTCTATACTTGTTCATGTCCGGAGCATCTGAGGGTGCGGTTCGCCCTGAACCAGCTCCGCCTGGGAGCGAAGGATTGGTGGAAGTTCGTGACGGCGAACTTCACTCTCGCGGAGGTTTCAGCCTTGACTTGGGAGAGATTTACT